AAACTTATCCTTAAAGTTTAATATATAACTATGCTTAAAACATGTGATTTTTTTCAGGTTCGGCTACCAGTAAACACCGACAGGGGCCACTAGGGCCCTCCTATAGCTCTTCTGAAAAGAAAATAATAATAAAAAAAGGCTAGATCTCAACTTAATTATTTGAAGTTTATTGAAGAAAGAAATGCTAATTAATGTCCGACTCAAAAGAGCCGACTATTCAGCTTTAGGCAGTTCCGACACGGGCTGGAGATGTGGAGTCCATATTTGAGTTAGGACAGGGTGGCATAAATAAATAAATAAACTCTTAAATTGTCTAGCAGTATAATAACGCCCCCATTAATCTTATTTTAAACGGAACTATATCAGTTTAAAATAGGAATAGTGAGGGAATTATCCGTTGAAAATGAGATTAAAAAGATGCCGACTTTGGAATCAATATAGAATAAGATATGTAGCACAAGAAAAATTAATCAATCTGATTTTTTTATAAATAAAATTAAAATAATATCATTTTAATTATTTTTTAAAAAATAAACTTATTAATAATTAAATTTTGATTGGATTTTATCTAAGTTAACTAGATGGTGGATTTATCTATGTTTTTGACAGGATTATTCCAAATCAATCATTCAATTATTATACTCTTTCCTTGTAAGGATTCCAAATCCCCAAAATTCTCGAGGAATTAAAGTCCAGCTGGCATGATTTTCTCGAAAAGTGGCTCCTATACTTGTGGTGCAAATTAATAATTGTAACTTTTGTTATTTTATTCGATAATAAGTAATATTTCTCAGAAAATGTATCAAAGATTACAATGTGAAACCTTATTGCTTGACAAATTAACTTGGAAAACTCATTATCCAAATATAAACTGAATTTCAAGTTAGATTGAAACAAAATTAGGCACTCCCCACCAAATGAGTGAGACCTAATTGAAAGCGATACCAATATGATCTAAATATTAAAAAAATCAAAGCAATTGCAGTTTTCATTCAAGTGGAAGAAAACGATAGACATAATCTTCGATCGAAAAGTCAAACTAAATTTCGACAGAAGGGTTAACGCTATAATGAAAGGAAGGTGAGGGGGGGCATACCTGACCGAGTCTAGCCTGAGGAAACTTGGCTCTGACGGTATCTTCAAGCTCCTTTCCCAATGGCGACCCTCCAGACTTCAACATCCTCAACGAAGACAAGTCATGTTTATCAAGATCAGGTGACTTGGCAATTGCCACCATCACTGGTGGTACAACTGGTGCTATAGATACCTTATACTTCTCAATCAATCCCAGCAAAGAACCGATCTCGAACTTTGGCATTATCAAAATTGCAGCACCAACTCTCAACCCACAAAGCATTATTGAATTCAGAGCATAAATATGAAACATAGGCAGCACGCACAGAATCACATCTTCACTGTGAAAATATAGGTTAGGATTGTCGCCATCTACTTGTTGAGCCACACTGGTTATTAGCCCTTTGTGTGTTAACATGACCCCTTTTGGTAATCCCGTAGTCCCTGAAGAATAAGGCAATGCCACAACATCGTCAGGACTGATGTCAACCTGGGGCATATCATTATCATCAGCCTGTGTTAGCTCTGAAAAGTGCAAGCACACGTCTGGGGCAGAGTCTACACACATGACCTTGACATCGTTTTCTTGTGCATAATCTTTAACCTTGTCATAGTAACAAGCCTGTGTTATCAAAAGCTTTGCTTTTGAGGCCTTGGCTTGTTTTGCTAGCTCTGCAGGAGTGGAGAAAGGATTGGCAGCAGTAGTAATGGCACCTCTGTGTGAAGCACCTAAGAAAGCAAGCACAAATTCAGGTGAACTTGGCAGGATGAGCATGATCACATCACCTTGTTGAATTCCAAGCTTGTTAAGACCAGAAGCAGCTCTTCTTGCTGTGAGCTCAACGTCGGCATAGGTGTAGATATCCCCATTTGCGCCATTTATCAGACAAGGTTTCGATGGATATTTAGAGACGTTTTCAAAAACGTATGAATGCAGGGGAAGGCCCTTCGGGATGTCAATATCTGGCAATTTTGAGCGAAAGATGAATTCTTCCTTTTGCTTTGTTATTGTATCCATTGTGGGCTCAAGTTGCAGAGGGAGAGGGTGGATTTTAGGTGCTCTGTGTTGTTTTATGAATGGAGCCCTGAGAAAGCAAAATGGAAAGCATTGATGGTGATATAGAGACAGTTGCCATGGAGAGGCGGGGTTGGTGAAAGGATAAAGTGGGTACTGTGGAATTTGTTGAAGGGCAAAATAGGGAGAAAATAATTGAAAAGGGGCTGTGTTTGGTGAACACCGAAGAATCTGTGCGCATGGGTTGGTGAGACCGGGGTTACTGACGTTGATATTCCGGGTCAGGTTCCGAGTTAGGTGAGCTTGTAGTTGTTAATTTGAGTTAATTTAATTTTTTTATATTTTATTAAAAATAAAAATGATATTATTTTGTAAAATAAATTAAATCAAAAAACTTATACCAAGATCAATTTTTTTTTGTTTTTTATTGAAACTTGACCGGTCTAGACTTCATGTTACCCGGCCAGTATAGTATCACGTTGGGTCGGGTTTTTAAAACGTGGTTGAGATGGTGGGGCCCATTTGGATATATTGGGAAAACAATGCCAATGGAGTGAGGTGGCTTTCCTCCCTCTTATCTTTTTTAATAAGTTTTCACCAACCACCAGACCATATTATTTTATGTGCAACTTGAATTCCCAGCGGTTGGATCTCTCTCTCCTGTCACCTGCTCCGTCAGCAGACAAAACCCAAAAAATAAAATAAAAATCTATGATTGGTGTTTTAAAATATAATTTAAGCAACCACAAAGTACTTCCCATCGAAGAAATAAAATAACAGGTGGCAAGGTTATGAGCACTTATTAGATGATATGATCGATTGCCATGCAAAGTGTTATACAATCCACGCCACCTAATCTTGTTAGGCTAAAATAATTCGTATGGCCGTGATGCAATAGCGTTTACTTTCAAGACTCTTTTTTTTTTTAAAAAAAAATTCTATTTTTTTTTGGGGATCAAACTAATTAAAATAAATATGTAGGAGAAAAAAATTATTTTCTTTTCCAATTTTTTTTTTATCATTTGTTTCTTGTTTATTTTGAAAAAAATATTATCTTGTTTTTATCACAAGCATGCCTTTTACTATAAGAACTTATCATGATCTATAAAACAATATTAAACCAAGAAATAAAAAAAATATCTCAATAATTTTTATGGAATTATATGAAGAATTACGTGACATAAAAATTAATTCAAGAAAAAGTAAAAAAGTATATATTCATCAGGAAAATTTTCTACACAAAAATGATATGCATAGAAACAATTTGTATACTGGATTTTATTTATTTATTTATAACATGTATTTAATCTTCATATGTAAAATTAAAAAAAACTATTCAATTTTTTTTTCTTTTAGGTTTCATTCCTATTTTTTTTATTATTTATTTTATTAAAAATAATTTATAGGATTAATTTTTTTTTATTCTATCATCCTTTCATTTTTTATCTGTTAGATTAGTCTTTATTTTTTTATTTAGATTTTTTTTAAATTGATAACTATCTCTATGATTCCATTCTTTAATATTAAATTGGTTTGAAATTGAGCTTTTTAATTGAGTTTAAATCTAAAATTTTATGAGTTGTGAGTTTGGAGGATTAATCCAAGTTTAGAAGATCTATCTATGTTTAATGGTTTTTTTTTAACTCATGTTTTTTCAATTTCATTTTTCGATATTTATTTCAATGGGGATCGCACTATGTTAGTTTTTTATTTTTTATTTACAAGAATTTTCATTAGTTTTGAAAATGACATGTGTTATTCCAGTCTTTTTATTTGTTATCCTTTATTAATTTTAGCTTTATTTGCTAGAGAAAATCTGTTCATTATTAAATTAAATTAATTTATTAAATATAAGCATGAAATATTTATTTCATGATATTTTGTTGGGTTTCTTTTCTAGTTGTTGCTCTTATAGTGCATGTAGCTTTTTTTAATATCACCATGCAACTTTTTATGATAATATTTAACTATCTTGGTGAACTCTATCTAGTGGTGAAGTAATATCAATAGCAAAGCAAAGATTAATCTCCAATATTTTTTTTTGTTTTTTCTAGTATTTTATTGATAGTTTATTTTTTTATTGTTAATTATTGCCATTATTTTTATTTTATTTATTGTTGATTTTTTTAACCATATTACTAAATTAACCGAGTTTATTGAATCAAGTCAAATCAATAACTCAAATCTCATATTAAAAAAAAAACATTTGCGTCACATGAATATTTTTTTATCAATTATTTTCTATTTATTTATTATCATTATATTTTTTATTTTTGTTATTTAAATTAATTGAGTTTATTACATCCAGTTAAGATGATGATCAAAATTTTGATTTTTCTTAAATAATCACTCACCTTATCATCCTTGTTTTACAATGAAAAAAAAATTAGGTCGCCAATGAAATATTGAGTATCACCCATCTAGTTCATTTTGTAAACCCCCCCCCCCACCCCCCCAAATAAAAAAAAATGAGGTCGCCAAATGGGACAATGGCATCCATACTTCTCACAATATATATATATATATGATTTATTTTCGAACAACAATGTTTAATGATTTTATCGTAGAAATTGGAGAAATTTCATGTATAGTCAAATTCTAACAAATACTAGATTCAGAAACACCAACCGTCCATCTTCATTTCCCAGAAAAGAAAGGGATAGCTCCCAATTATTGTATCCTTGTATTTTATTCCCCTTTACAAGTTAGTCCTTTCTTTAAGTGTTCATCGATAAGATGTGAGTTGCCATCAATTTATTTATTTTTCCTTCCAAAATACCCTTTTGACTATATATTAATTGATAGAAACATAGTAGAGCTTAGTAAATCTCTAAGAAATTAAAGGAGCTTTTAAGGAACTAACGATGGACGAAGTTATGGTTTCTGAAACTAGAGGGACTAAGCTATTATATTGATAAAAAAGCTAGGACTAAATTAATATTTACTCATTCAAAAATTTAACACATCTTACAAACCTTCATCCACATTACGGGTATGGCAGATACAATCTGCTAAATTAGCGGTAATAAAAAATATAAGAACAACACTAGAGTGGCCATTTTAATTTAAAACCATTACCCCTTCCATCATGTGTTCATGCTGCAATTTAATTTTTTTCTCAAAACATCAATCTCTTTAATTGCCTTTTCCAGGCTCTCCCTCATTATGCCAGTTGATTCTTCAAGAAGTTGTGCACGCCTTTGTTCTTCAGCTACCCTGTTGTTCAGCCAGATAAGCTTGTTATTGTCCTCCTTCATTTGCTTGATTCGGCTCACAACCATATCTTGGTATGATCTGATTTCATACTTCAGCTTGGGTTTACCTACAGACCAATTTACACAACATGTTATAACATGATCTGTTGGCAGAATGATTATGTTCAAAAAATACATTTCAAGCAGACAGAACCTGTTGAATACTCGTTGAAGAGATCCACGTCTTGTTTATCTGCCATGTAACCGTGAAGTTGGAGCTCCCAACTAGGTAGAAGGTAGAGTGGACTTCGATTCCAAACATTTCTACCTGTACCTTGATCAGAAAAATGTCTATCCAAGCGCTCTGCCTCTAAATAGCCTCTAGCTGATCCCTCAAAAATCAACATACTCATACCACAATGTCCGTCCGAATTGTATGCTTGTTGAACCTTCTCAATAGCATCATATGAGCTGAACAAGTCAAGGAGTTCCTGATCTGCTATGCCAGTCCGCTGAAATTTAGTTTGATACAAGCAAACTCTTGATTAGATCGTAATCAGAAATAATGTTTCAGTTACAAACACAAACTACCACTCTTGTCATCGTTTCATGCCGTATCCGAGGGAGAAAACATGATCGTACCTTATTGTTCTCGTCTTTTTTAAGGCTTGCTGTATTCCTAACAACAACCATAGGAGGCCAAACAACCTCGTGATCCTTCTTCTCATCCTTTAGACCTTTCCATTTGCTCAACACTTCACCAGCAGAACTTTCAGAAGTTCCCTTTTTGCTGAAGTTCGTTGTCAACAGATGTGCGAGTTTCCGGTGGAGTTTACCCCCTTCTTCAGTGTCTTTGGCATGTGATATCAGGGCCTGCAGGCCTTGGTACCATTGGATGGCACCCGAAACGTCTTTGCATGCAGGACAGTAAAACTGCTCAATAGGTTTATTGACATTCACAGGTGCCACTCCCTTGCACAATCTGCTCTTCTTGCTATCATTAAAAGCTCCTCCGTTTCCATTGCTGACCAGCAATTCAGAATTAAGATTAAGTGGAACGTCTGAATTCTGATCCACACCTTTATCTTCCCGTGCTTTAGTATTGGGACTCTGTAGAATACCCACCGCTTTTGCAGCAATGCTTTCAGCTCTTTTCATATACTCATATCGAGTTGAATTGAGACTAATAATTTTCGCTTTACCACGACTAACTGGTTCTGTTTCAGTATTGGGACTTGGGTTATTATTGCTGAAGCTGGCATCAGCAGTAAGAGACTTGCCAGCGTCATTTCTAGAACTCTTGTCCATACTTAACTCTTTGCTGCATGACCATTGATTTTTGGACAAATTGACAGTTTTGCTGTCCAGTTGTCGTAAGCAAAAAATTGTCAGAACTTAGAACAAAGCAGTTAATGAAAAAAAAAGAAGAAATTAAGTAATGACCCTGAATCTCAGTAACTCATTCTTTTTAATAATAGAAAAAGAAGTTCAGATATCTCTTTCCCTTAATGTGAATTATTGCTGACTAAATGTGGAGATTTTAAGAAGCATCACTCCTGGAATTCATTCGTAAAGTCTGACTGGAAAGTGGAAACTTGTCAGAAATCCTTTGTGAGGATAGTTTGTCTATATTCAAGCTATAATGATGCTTAGACCTTAGCATTGAATGGTAAATTCTAATTCCTTATCAGTTTATCAGTAAAATAGTTAGGTCACCTCACTACTTTGCACAGTAAAGTTCTACTTGACAAAGGCCTGTTGGCATGTAAAAAGCTTAATTTAGTTACATCATCAACAAGCTCATATAATAAAGACATGCTGGCAGCAATAAAATCTTGACAAAGTATTTAATGTAGGATATTCTCATATCTAAAACATACTGACCTGCAGCCTAAGCAAAATATCTGACCAGAGGTGTCATTTCTTATGATCTGATCAGTTTGTTTCCTTTCCAGGCAAATCTCACAGGTACTTGTAGACGATTCACACTTTTCTTCCTTGAGTTCATCTTGTCCTCCATATTCTTCTAGTAGCTGACCTGTGTCAGATGCTTCCTTTTCTTTCACTTGATTCTCTTCGAACTTGGCAGTTTCTTGCACTCTGTAGCAAGAAATGATGGAATGAAGATAACTTTACTGAAAGGAAAATATGAGATTTATATTTTGCAATCAAGATGCCAGTTATGTACCTGTATTTTTCATCCTGAGTACTTGAAGGACTTCCATTCGATTCACGGACATTTTCATGCTCCTCGTCTTTCTTGGAGCTCTTAAGATCCCCTCCCTTCTTACCTCTTTCTTCAAGAATAATCTTTACTTGGCTGTCCTTGAAAATTTGTTCTTGAAAATCCATCTTAAGAAAAGAATTGTTAAGATCAGTCAAAATAGCTGAAGGCATGCAGATAAAGGATTAAAAGGTACTACCCTACCGCTAAGTATCAGGTCAGGAAAATGAAAGTAACTCATCATGAATAATTAACGTAGTTTCATGGATAGCGGTGATTGCTTAACCGCAGAACTATCAGTAAAAGAAAGTAAAAGGTCAAGGTTCGGATTTACATTAACCAAGACATAAAGTTCAGAAGCATTTGGCAACTATCACCTCTTCCATGTTCTGTTTATGCTGCAATTTAATTTTCTTTCTCAAAATATCAATCTCCTTCCTTGCCTTTTTCAGGCTCTCCCTCAGTATGCCATTTGATTTTTCAAGAAGTTCTCCATGCCTTTGTTCTTCATCTACCCTGTTGTTCAGCCAAATAATCTGGTGATTGTCCTCACTCATTTGCCGGATCCGGTTCACAATCATCTCTTGGTATGATCTGATTTCACATCTCAGCTTGGGTTCCCCTACAGACCAATTTACACAACATGTTATTATATGATCTGTTGGCAGAATGATTATGTTTAAAAAAAAAAAATTTCATTTCAAGCAGACAAAACCTGTTGAGTACATGTTGAAGAGATAAACGTCTTCTTTCTCGGCCATGTAACCGTGAAGTTGGAGCTCCCCACTTCGTAGGAGGTACATTGGACTTTCATTCCAAACATTTCTACCTGTTCCTTGATCTGCAAAATGTCTATCCAGGCGCTTTGCCTCTAAATAGCCTCTTGTTGAGCCCTCAAAAATCAAAATACTCATACCACAATGTCCGTCCGAATTGTATGCTTGTTGAACCTTCTCAATAGCATCATATGAGCTGAACAAGTCAAGGAGTTCCTGATCTGCTATGCCAGTCCGCTGAAATTTAATTTGATACAAGCAAACACTTGATTAGATCATAATCAGAAATAATGTTTCAGTTACAAACACAAACTACCACTCTTGTCAAACACTTGATTAGATCATAATCAGAAATAATGTTTCAGTTACAAACACAAACTACCACTCTTGTCATCATTTCATGCCATATCCAAGGGAGAAAACATGATTGTACCTTATTGTTCTCGTCTTTTTTAAGGCTTGCTGTATCCCAAACAACAACCATAGGAGGCCAAACAACCTCGTGATCCTTCTTCTCATCCTTTAGACCTTTCCATTTGCTCAACACTTCATCATCAGAACTTTCAGAAGTTCCCTTTTTGCTGAAGTTCGTTGTCAACAGATGTGCGAGTTTCCGGTGGAGTTTACCCCCATCTTCGGTGGCTTTGGCATGTGATATCAGGGCCGGCAGGCCTTGGTACCATTGGATGGCACCAGAATCTTCTGTGCATGCAGGACAGTAAAACTGCTCAATAGGTTTATTGACATTCACACGTGCCACTCCCTTGGACAATCTGCTCTTCTCGCTATCATCCAAAGCTCCTCCGTTTCCATTGCTGACCGGCAATTCAGAATTAAGATTAAGTGGAATGTCTGAATTCTGATCCACACCTTTATCTTCCTGTGCTTTAGTATTGGGACTCTGTGGAGTAACCTCCTGTTTTCCAGCAATGCTTTCATCTCTTTCCCTATACTCTTCTTGTGCTGAATTGAGACTAATAATTTTCGCCGCACCATGACCATGTGGCGCAGTTTCAGTCTTGGGAGTTGGATTATTATTGCTGCCACTGTCATCAGCAGTGAGAGACTTGCCAGCGTCATTTCTAGAACTCATGTCGAAACTCAACTTTTTGTTGCATGGCCATTGATTTTCTGACAATTTGACAGTTTTGCTGCACAGTTGTTGTAAGCAAAAAATTAGTCGGATTCTAAAACACAGCAGTTGATGAAAAAAAAACTAAGTAATTAATTAATAAAAAACTTTTCTGTTTCGGAAAACAAAAATTTAGAAGAAAATTCTGCCTAACTGAACATCCAACCTGAACTTCAGTAAATCATTCTTTTTAATAACAGGAAAAAACATTCATATCTCTTTCCCTTGATGTAAATTGTTGCTGGCTAAATGTGGAGAATTTAAGAAGCATCACTCCTGGAATTCATTCGTAAAGCATGATCGGAAAGAGGAAACTCTGTAGCAATATTAGGAGAGGTTATAATAGTTCAATTTGGATGAGTTAAACCATTTGAGAGGATATTGTTTGTTTATATTCAAGGTATGATCATGTTTTACCTTAGCATTTAATGGAAAATTCTATTTCCTTATCAGTTTATCAGTAAACAAGTCAGGTTTCCTCACTACTTTACACAGTGAAGTTCTACTGGACTAAAAGGCTATATATGCAAAAAGCTTTATTTAGCAACATCATCAACTAGATCATATAGCAAACTGTAGGATATCCTCTATTTAGAACATACTGACCTGCAGCCTATGCAAAATATCTGACCAGAGCTCTCAGTTTTTATGACCTGATCGGTTTCTTTCCTTTTCAGGCAAACGTCACAGGAACTTAAGGATGATGGTTCAACCTCGTGTTCTGAAATTGCTTCCATATTGGTCCTGGACGGAGTTGATGGTGACACGTTACTTGGTACTTGACATCCGATCGAAGAAGCCTTTAGACCCTCTTGCAACAGTAACTTTTCATCAAATCCAGCATCTACTGGATCGGGCAAAATCTCATCTCCTGATTCAGTTTTGCGTGAGAAAGATGGAAAGTGACCATAAATCCCCTTAAGAAGACCAGAGAAGGCTGCTTTTGTTGCCATGTTGTTAACTTATGATTACAAAATCTCTGTCTTTACCCTTTGATCTTCTTCTCTCACAGATGGACGTACTGGTGCCTCTCAACCTTTACTTAATTAAATGTCTATCAAACACTTACTTCTGAAGTTTTCTCTCGGGCTACTTTCCTCGAGAGTTCAACACACTTTTGGAACACGGATTGACTAGCTTTCCACGGCCTTCTCTAGTCAAGGAGGTGTAGAGTCATGCTGTCGTTTTCGCAACTATTTTAATGGAAGCAGAATAATAGTGGCAATCCGAAAAAAAAAAATCCGATCTTTCTCTTCTTTCTTCATTGAGGCTTTATCGAATTTCATGTTCTTGTGATTGATTGGTTGAGTTCTGAGATTTAAACATTTTTCATATCATTGAATATTAACAATGATACGTGAATACATTTTTTTTCCTCCTTAATTTAAATTATTTGAATTCTTTAAATGTTCATTTTAATTACCTTAAATTTTTATTCAAAAAACAATATACTGCCAATTCAATGCTAAATTGGTTATTTTCTCTTCTACCATCTTGTAACAGCGTGAGAACCAAGCGAGCCCATTTATAGGTCTCTCAAGAAAGTTTCTCGTTACCCACTAGGCTTGCTAACAGATGCAATAGAATCTACTTGTATTCTTAAGTGAAACATTTAGCTTAAGGACTAAGATTATGTTCGGTAGTATGTTAAAGATTGATTTTTAAAATATTTTTTATTTAAAAATATATTAAAATAATATTTTATTTTTATTTTTAATTTCAGCACATTGAATTGATAAAAAATATTAATTTAAATTTTTTCATAAAAAATTAAAAATTTTAAAAATACAATTAGATTTCAATACGTGAATAAAGAGTCCAAAAAAAATCATGGCACAAACCGAATAAGAATCACCCTTTACAAACAATCCAGTGCAAAAGAACGAATCTTATCTACTCTTCTTATAAAGCACAAGTTTTAACACTGTCTTGATCAGGACATAAACGCTCACATCTTCCTTTCTTGTTCATCCCCTTTTGCGTTCATGTCTTGCCTGAATTTGGGGCTTCCACCGAGAAGGCATGGAAGAGTTTCACATCCAAGCTTCAAAGCAAACTGCATGAACTCAACGTCTACTATTCTATATCAAGAAATCGAAACATCCAACCAACAGCATTAACAGCACTGCTTCTGCGAAAGCTGTTCGGCCTCATATCCTATTTGATCACAAACGTACGTGATGGAAACAGAAAGCGGCTTGTATACCCGCCTCGAGCACTTCTTTTTAAACAACGTAGCAGCAGCTTTGGCTGTATGTCCACAAAGAATCAGCACCTGTATATATTGATAAGCTCTTTCGAGAGCCTGTCAGTAGTAGTGAGTTGGTGGCCAAGTTTCCGCCAACTACAAAGACCATGAAGATTATTGATCACCAGGCAGCTACAGCAGTAGCGCCAGCAGGAACGAGCATGGAAGATGAGGTCAATATAGGGAAAGAGGCTGTGCAGCGGATGACATGCGATAGTCTTTGGGATTTGCATCTCCTCGAATGCAAGGAATTGACGAAAGAGCTAAGCAGTTCATTTTGACATCCCGGGCAGAGATGGAGATTCAGGAAACTCACTTCTGAAGTTGTTTCTTGGACAACTTCCTCGAGAGGTTAACAATTTTGGAACACGGTACGACTTGCTTTCCATGGCATTTTCCAGTCAAGGAGGTGTAGGGTTGTGCAGTCTATTTTTCCCCTCTCTTTTTAATGGAAACAGAACAATAGTGGCAATCCGGAAAATAAAAGGTCCGATCTTTTTTCATTGAGGCTTGATCGACTTTCATATTCTTGTGATTAATTGGTTGAGTTCTGAGATTTAAATAATTTTTTGTATATTTGAATCTTTTTTTTTCATATTAGGATAAATTCTAAAAAATCATGTTTTCAATTAAAAAAAAACTTGTTTCCTAAAAAAACAATAAAATCACATGAATAATACAATATGAATACCTTTCTCTCTCTCTTAATTTAAATTATTTGAATTCTTATAAATATTTATTTGAATTATCTTAAGTTTTTTTTATTAAAAAAAAAACAATATACTGCCAATGCAATGCTAAACTGGTTATTTTCTCTTCTACCATCGTGGCATCTTGTAATAGCGTGGGAACCAAGCGAGCCCATTTATAGCTCTCTCAACAAAAGTTTCTCGTTACCCACTGGGCTTGCTACTATATCTATATGCATTCTCATGTAAAAAAAAAAATTAGCATAGGTAGTCTGGTAAATTTTATTTTTTAAAATATTTTTTATTTAAAAATATATAAAATAATTTTTTTTAATTTTTGATATAAAATACTATTTTTTTAAATTTAAAACTTAAAAAATAATTTTTTTTTAAAAAAACCATAATACTAAACACACCAACACCAATATAAATCACCTTTTAAAAAAACAAATCCAGTGCAAAACGAACGTATCTTATCTTCTCTTTTTATAAAGCACAAGTCTTAACACTATCTTAATCAGGACATAAACACTTCTATCTTCCTTTCTTGTTCATCCCCTTCTGCGCTCCTGTCTTGCCTGAACTTGAGGCTTCCACCAGCCAAGAAGGCACGGAAGAGTTTCACATCCAAGCTTCAATGAAAACTGCATGAACTCAACATTTCTAAATCTACCAAGAAATTGAAATATCCGACCAGCAATGTTTACAACACTGCTTCTGCAAAAACTGCTCGAACTCATATCCTATTTGATTAGTAATAATATTCTAAAATCCAATAATCACGGGAATTTAAGTTTTTGAGTACTTGAATAATGAGTAATCACATGTTTATATTTATATTTTGTTTTCAAGAGCCGGGGAGCAAAGAATTGGTGGTAAAAGTCTCTGCAAAACAGTATATTTTATTGATTTTAAGATATTTCAATAATTAAATCATTGACAATAAAAGATTATAGTAAATGAAAATTAAATATTGATGAAAACATCCTTTTACACAATATTAATAAGAATAACACGTGAAAACTTTAATTTATTATTTTATATACAACATTAATTTCGGTAACAACAATCTTTATAATTAGCATTAATGTTAATTGACTTGGGAGATGCACGGTCATGCACTCTTTTTCTCCGATCTTTATTTTTTCCTCTCTTTTAATGGAAACAGAATAATAGTGATTAATTGGCAGAGTTATGAGATTTAAACATTTTTCCTTTTTTTTTTAGTGTATCAAGATTTAAATTTCTTTCATATCATTGAATCTTTTTTTTTTTTCATATAAGGATAAATTCTTATTTAAAAATCATGTTTTTAATAAAAAACTTGTTTTTCTCAAATTTGTTTTTACATGAATAAAGAATGAGATTTTTGGTTTAAAGACATGCTTTTGTAAGAACAAAAAATAATACTTGAATTCGTTTTTCGATGTTGATTTAAATCATTTGAGTTCTTATGAAAATTTATTTTAATTACCTTAAATTTTTATTAAAAAAACAATATATAGTTGTTAAAAAAATTATCAAAAAATAAAATATAAAAAACTATTTTTTGTCTAGAATTTAAATATTTGGACTTCTTTCAAATATTTATTTTCACTGGCACAAAAATTAAATAAAAAACTTTCAAAGAGAGACGCTCAAACTAAATAGTTTCCCCTAATTAAAAAGAGTAAATTATTCAATCCCAGCGTGCTTAGCAAAATAACTGGTTAGTCCTTCTGGTTTAATAAACCCAACATTGTATCCTTGTATTTTATTCCCCTTTACAAGTTAGTCCTTTCTTTAAGTGTTCATGTGAGTTGCCATCAATTTAGTTATTTCTCCTTCAAAGATACCCTTTGGACTTTTTATTAATTGAAAGAAACATAGGAAAGTCTGGTAAATTTCTAAGAAATTAGTGGAGATTTTAAGGAATTAATGATGGACTAAGTTATGGTTTCTGAAACTAGAGGGACTAAGCTATCATATTGATAAAAGTTCCTGGACTAAATTAATACTTGCTCATTCAGAAATCTAGCACACCTTTCAAACCTTCATCCACATCATGGGCATGGCAGATATAATCTTTAACTGCTAAATTAGTAGTTGGTAGTAATCAAACATCCAAGAACAACACATACAAATGCCACAGTTCCTCAGGGAACTCTGATACGAATTCTAGGAAAAATAGTAGCCACAAACTTAGTTATCGTGCAACACAAGAATTCACAACTCAATATAATTGATATTTAGCAATGCAGGTAAGCACAGTGCATATCTCTGCATTTTAATATCCTAAAATTCAAAGAAAGTTTGTGATTGATAGCAAGGCTTTCACATTCGAACTCTTTAGATCTGCAGTCTTCCTCTTCCTTGGGTTCATTTTGTCTTCTTCCTTCTTCTACTAGCTTTACCCGTGTCAGCTACTTCCTTTTCTTTCACTTCGTTCTCTTCGGCCTTGGCAGTTTCCTGCACTCTGTAGCAAGAAATGATGGAATGAAGAGACAGCCCCACTGAAAGGAAAATATGAGATTTATATTTTGCAATGAAGATGCCAGTTAAGTACCTGGAATTGTCATCCTGTGTATTTGAAGGACTCCCATTGGATTCATGGACATTTCCGTGCTCCTTGTCCTCCTTTGAGCTCTCAAGATCCCCTCCCTTTTTACCTCTCTCGTCAACATGAATCTTTATTTGGCTGTCTTCGAAAATTTGTCTTTGAAAACCCATCTTAAGAAAAGAATTGTTAAGATCACTCAAAATAGCAGAAAGGACATGCAGACATTATGCAATTAAAATACTGTAAAAACATTTAAAAGTGGTTAAAGGAATGCAGAAGGTACTTTCCTAGCGCTAGGTATCATGTCACGAATAATTAACAGTTTCATGGATAGTAGTGATTGTTTAACTGCAGAATTATCATAAAAAGAAAGTAAGGGGTCAGGGTTTGGCCGGTTTAGATTTAAATTTCTAAATGGTTGCCAAAAATGCTTACATGAACTCTATCATTTCTTACATTAACCAAGACATTCGTCCCCAAGCATTTGACAACTATTACCTCTTCTATGTTCTGTTCGTGCTGCAATTTATTTTCCTTTCTCAAAATATCAATTTCCTTCATTACCTTTAACAGGATCTCCCTCATTATGCCATTTGATTCTTCCAGACGTTCTACCCTGTTAGTCAGCCAGATACGCTTGTTATCGTCCTCACTCATTTGCCTGATTCGGTTCACAACCGTATCTTGGTATGATCTAATTAAATATTTCAGCTTGGGTTCACCTACAGACCAATTTACACAACATGTTAATTATATATGATCTGTTGGCAGAATGATTATATTAAAAAAAATCATTTCAAGCAGACAAAACCTGTTGAATACTGGTTGAAGAGATCCACGTCCTTCTTCTCTGCCATGTAACCGTGAAGTTGGAGCTCCCCACTTCGTAGGAGGTAGAGTGGACTTCGATTCCAAACATTTCTACCAGTTCCTTCATCTGCGAAATGTCTATCAAGGCGCTCTGCCTCTAAATAGCCTCTTGTTGAGCCCTCAAAAATCAAAATACTCATCCCACAATGTCCATTCGAATTGCATGCATGTTGAACCTTCTCAATAGCTTCATATGAGCTGAACAAATCAAGGAGTTCCTGATCTGATATGCCAATCCGCTGAAATTTAATTTGATACAAGCAAACACCTGATTAGATCATAATTAGCAACAATATTTCAATTAGAAACACAAAATACCACTCTTGTCATCATTTCATGCCATATCTGAGGGAGAAAACATGATTGTACCTTATTGTTCTCGTCTTTTTTAAGGCTTGCTGTATTCCTAACAACAACCATAGGAGGCCAAACGATCTCATGATCTTTATTCTCATCTTTTAGACCTTTCCATTTACTTAGCACTTCATCACCAGAACTATCAGAAGTTCCCTTTCTGCCGAACTTCCTTGTCAGCTGCTTTTCTAGGTTCTGGTGGAGTTTAACCCTTCTTCCTTTAGTGGTTTTATTGGCATGTGATATCAGGGCCTGTAGGCCTGGGTACCATTTGATGGTATCAGGAACTTCTGCGCATGCAGGACAGTAAAACTGCTCAATAGGTTTATTGACATTCTTAGGTGCCAATTCCTTGGACAATCTGCTCTTCTTGTTATCATCCAATGCACCACCGTTTCCTCTGCTGACCAGCGATTCAGATTTAACATTAAGTGGAATGTCTGAATTCGGATCCACACCTTTATCCTTCTGTGCTTTAGTATTGGGACTCTGTGGAGTACCCTCCTGTTTTGCAGCAATGCTTTCAGCTCTTTTCCTACACTCATCTTGTGCTGAATTGTGGCTAATAATTTTCGCTGCACCACGACTAACTGCTTCTGTTTCAGTCATGAGAGTTGGAATATTATTGCTGCAACTGGCTTCAGCAATTTCTTGTGCTGAAATTGCTTCCATATTGGTCCTGGACGGAGTTGATGATGACACATTGCTTGCCATTGGGCAACTGGCCAACGAAGCCTTTAGAGGCTCTTGTAACTGGAGCTCTTCAGCAAATTCAGCTTCTTGCAAAATCTCATCTTCTGATTCAGATTTGTATGAGAAAGATGGAGAGGAACCATCATTAAGATCAAAGAGGGCTTGTTTTTTTGCCATGTTATTTCACAAAATCTCTTTCTTCAGCCTTGAACTTCTTGTCTCACAATTGTATGTATGTACTTTTGACTCTCGACCTCTACTTAAATAGATGTCTATCAAGAACTTGCTTCGGATGTTGTTTCTTGGACAACTTCCTCGAGGGTTCACCACTTTTGCAACATAGATTGACTTGCTTTGCATTCAAGGAGTTGTGTAGGGCCATGCATTCTTTTTCGCCACTTGCTTTAACTTGCTTTTTATTATCATTTAATGGAAAGAGAATAATAGTGGCAGGGTTTTAAAAAAAAAAAAAAGGGAGTCCGATCATTTCTTTTCTTTCTTCATTGAGGATTGACCGATTTTTCATATTAATGTTATTTATTAGTTGAGTTCTGAGATTTAAACATCTATCCTTTTGTTTTTATTACGAAGGGGATGAATTTGGAGCCCTAAAACCAAAATCCAAGGATTCATGAATAATTTTTTAGGGACATCTCGGGCGAGCTAGTTAGTAAATTATGAAAAATGAGTCCCATGATAGGTAAGTGGTTGGTTAGTGAAACAAATTATATAGATTGAAGCATAACAATACAACAACAAGCAAAATAAACTGAATTAGGGTTAAAATACAGAGAATCTCAAAACTTTTTTTTGTTTTTGAAATAAAGATATGACCCAAATTTTTCTTTAAAAAAAAAACTTACAATGCCTTCTAAAAAATTAAAAAAAACTGAAATAGAGTAGAAAATAACTATAAAAAATAGTAAAATTATCCCGATCAACAACTTTTAGACTTAATTTTGAGAGATTTAACAGTTTAGTAAGCATGTAATAAATATTTAAGCACGATGCAATAATTGTATCTTTTATTATTATGATTTTAAATTATTTTTTTAGTATAACATGATTAAATATTTTTTTAAAGTTAAACAAGTCCGATTAATTTATAAAAATATATAAATATTTTTTTAAAGTTAAACAAGTCCGAATTTATAAAAATATACGCTAAGATATTCACATAATCAAAATTCCTTGGTTATTTCAACTTTTTTTAATATTTAGATTAAAAGTGTACTCGAACAAAACTATTTGAAAAAAATGAAACATGCATCCTCCATAATAACAAAAAAAAATAAAAATCTTCCCTTAGATACAAAAGAATTGGCCGAGATAATGCCAATTAATCAAAACAGAACTGAATATTGAATTCCAGCCTAAATAAGAATAAATTCTACAGAATTGGGTTGATAGTATAGTACTTATCCCCATCGAGCGATTATGTCTTTGTTTGGTCCTTCTAATATAATTCTTGTTCGAATATGATCCCTATACAGTACTTATTTCTATAATCATCCCGTCATTTCCTCAACTAGCGCCCTAATAACAAATACGATGATTGATGGAATGATCATATTAAAAGTACATAATCGATCGAGGAGATGAACTTTCAAGCCAAAACATGTCCTTCATGCAGATAATGGTATGATTTACGATCACTGCTGAGAGAAATTAATATAAAAAATACATTATCATGAATAAATGGTATAAAAGAAAATTTATTTAAACTGTTTCGAGCCATGCCCCTAGTTTCTTAAAGATGTGGGATTAATGCGTGATTAAATTCATTCGTGAAAGTTTCCGATCTAGCTAGATGTGATGAGATCTTTCAAAATATGTGTAAATATAAAAAGCATGATATATATTATCTATCAAACTATGGTCAGCTTATCTACAAAAATCCCCATTTTTCTCTAAAGAAAAAGAGAAAAACACAAAGGTGGTGATTGCATTATGATAATAATACAAAAAACCATGATAAAAGGGAATAAAAAAAAAGGAAAATCAAGAGTGGAGGGCAGGATTTGAGAAAGCAGAAAATGACTTTACAAGGATATCGTACATTGATCACCGAAAAGACACAACGCAGAGCCCTACAAGTTTGGAAACAGTAAGATAACCAGCCGGGAAGGAGGAAGAACTACTGGTTTCCGGTGAGAAGAGACTTCTTCTAAGCGAAGTCACTTCTAAAGCGATGCCCTCTCTGATTGCTATGTACTTGTATCCCCATATAGAGATTACTAGATCCGTGTCTATAGGATTGAATAAAAAAATCAAATAAATTAAAAAAATTAAAAAAATAACAGAAAAAACTGAAGTATTAAAAAAATATTAAGTGTAATTTCTAATTAGTCAAATATTAAAACATAAAAATAAAAAAAAATTCATTATACAAAAGAATTTTTAATAATTAAAAATTAAAAAAAGATCAAAATTAAAATATTTTTGTATTTAATTGAAAGGTGAAATTGCAAAAAAAATCAATATAGTAAAAGGTTAATTTTTTTTTTAAAATAAGAATCAAAATTGACATGAAAAATAAACACAATGCTATGTTTAAAGGATGAAATTGAAAAAAATAATGTTTTTTACAAAAAAAATAAAAATTAAAACAATAAATATCAAGTTGAAAAATATAATACCATTAATAAGAATTAAAGGATGAAATAAAAAATCACTGCAACTTTTATAAAAAAATTAAAAAAAATAAAGTTAAAAATAAATAAAAGTAAGATTCTAGAAATATTGCCATTAAACATGTCAAAGAAAATATTGTCACAACTGACATGCCATCCTAACATGTCATGTGTCATGTGTATTCTAACTATACAAAGAAAGGATATTTTTAATTGTCAGGAACACATATATTAATCATTTTTTTAATTTTTAATTATATTTTATATTTATTAAATTGCAAAGATATCTCTTATCTAACCTGATTATTATCAAAACACCATTATAAAAACAATCCACTGAGTCTTGATTGAAAGCAGCATAACATTTAGATTTCTCCTTAATTATGATTGAAAGCAGCAAAACACCATTAATAATGATTCTTAATTAATAACGATTCTTAATTAATAACAACAACAATAATCTTAATACCACAAACTAAGTTATCGTGCTACATAAGAAATTCACAACTTAATATGATTGATTTTTTAGCAATGCAAGTATTTGTCATCCAGAGTATTTGAAGGACTTCCATTCGACTCATGGACATTTGCTTGCTCCTCGTCCTCTTCTGAGCTCTCGAGACCCTAGTGATTGTTTATCTGCAGAATTACCAGAAAAAAAACATGTAATGAGTCAGGGTTTGGTGGGTTTAGCCCTAGATTTCTTGAAGGTGCTAGAGAAGCTTATATTAACTTTATCATTTCGTTCATTAACCAGGAGATAAGTTCATAGGCATTTGAAAACTATTACCTCTTCCATGTTCTGTTCAAGCAACAGTTTAATTTTCGTTCTCAAAACATCAATTTCCTTCTTTGCCCTTTCCATCCTCTCCCTCCTTGTGCCCTTTAATTGTTCAACAAGTTCTGCATTCCTATCCCTCATTATGCCATTTGATTCTTCAAGAGTTTCTGCGCGCCATAGCTCTTCAGCTAGCCGTTTTTTCAGCCAGATGAGCTGGTTATTGTCCTCACGCATTTGCCTATAGACCATGTCTTGGTGTAATCTGATTTCATATTTCAGCTTGGATTCACCTACAGACCAGTTTAACAAAATGTTATTATATGATCTTCTTGCAGAATGACTGTATAAAAAAGATTCATTTGAAGCAGCAAAACCTGTTGAATACTGGTTGAAGAGATCCACGTCCTTTTCCTCTGCCATGTAACCGTGAAGTTGGAGCTCCCCACTAGGTAGGAGGTAGAGTGGACTTCGATTCCAAACATTTCTACCTGTTCCTTGATCTGCAAAATGTCTATCTAGGCGTTCAGCTTCTAAATAGCCTCTAGCTGAGCGCTCAAAAATCAAAATACTCATCCCACAATGTCCAAGCGAATTGTATGCTTGTTGAACGTTCTCAATAGCGTCATATGATCTGAACAAGTCAAGCAGTTCCTGATCCGTAATGCCTATCCGCTGAAATTTAATTTGATACAAGCTATAACTTGATTAGATCATAATCAGCAATAATATTTCAGTTACAAACACAAAAATACCACTCTTGTCATCATTTCATGCCATATCCGAGGGAGAAAACATGATTGTACCTTATTGTTCTCGTCTTCTTGAAGGCTTGCTGTATTCCTGACAACAACCATAGGAGGCCAAACAATCTCACGATCTTTCTTCTCATCTCTTATACCTTTCCACTTACTTGACACTTCACCAGCAGGACCATCAGAAGTTCCCTTTCTGCCAAACTTCTTTTGCGAGAGCTGTGCGATTTTCCGGTGGAGTTTAGCCACTTCTTCAGTGTTTTTGGCATGCGATACGAGGGCCTGCAGGCCTTGGTACCATTTGATGGTATCAGAAACTTCCGCGCATGCAGGACAGTAAAACTGCTCGGTATTTTCATTGACATCCTCAGGTGCCAATTCCTTGAACAATCTGCTCTTATTGTTATCATCCAAAGCATGAGAGTCACCATGATAATCAAGAGCAGCAGTCACATTATTCTGAATGTCATCTGCAACTCTTTCTTTTTGGCCAGTTTCTGAACCCTTTCTTGGAGTTGAATCTGAATCAATTCCTCCTTCCCCACTCCTTGTATGTCCCACAGGTGGGCAGTCTACCAGTTGTGAAGCAACGTTCTTGATATAGCTGGAGGTTGGTCGTGGACCCCCGTTGCCTCCGCTGACCAGGGATTCAGAATTAACATTAGGTGGAATGTCTGAATTCTGACCCACACCTTTATCTTCCTGTGTTTCAGTATTGGGACTCTGTGGAGTACCCTCCTGTTTTGCAGCTATGCTTAAAGATGATTCACTCTTTCCTTTCCTTTCCGGGCAAATGTCACAGGTACTTAAAGATGATTCACACTTTTCTTCGTTGATTTCATCTTGACCTCCTTGTTCTTCTGCTAGCTTACCTGTGTCAGCTGCTTTGGGACTCTGTGGAGTACCATCCTGTTTAGCAGCTATGCTTTCAACTATTTTCCTGTCCTCATCTTGTGAAGAGTTGAGGCTAACGATTTTCGCTGCACCACCACTCAATAGTTCTGTTTCAGTCTTGGTAGTAGGATTATTACTGCTGCCACTGTCATCAGCAGTGAGAGACTTGCCAGTGTCATTGCCAGAACTCATGTCCATACTCAACTCTTTGCTGCTTGACCGTTGATTTTCTGACAACTCGATAGCTTTGCTGCACAGTTGTTGTAAGCAAAAAAATAGTCAAATCTTAAAACACAGCAGTTAATGAAAAAAAGAAAAAAACCAAGTAATCAAGTAATGAAAAAGCTCCTGAACTTCAATACATCATCGTAAAGTCTTTTTAATAATTCTTCAGAAAACCAAGTAGTTCAGAAAATTCTTTTTAATAATTCATTCGTAAAGTCTGACCAGAAAGTTAATAGTTAAATCTGGATGAATTAAACCCTTTGAGAGGATATTTTTTGTTTATATTCAAACTATTATCATGCTAGACCTTAGCATTTAATGACAAATTCTAATTCCTCATCAGAAGTACTCAGGTCTGCTCACTACTTTACACAGTAAAGTTCTACTGGACTGAAGGCCTGTTGGTATGTAAAAAGCTCAATTTAGCAACATCATCAACAAGCTCATATGAAAGCATTTGCTGTAGGATATTCTCATATTTAGAACATACTGACCTGCTGCGCGGGCAAATAATCAGGCCAGAGCTCGCATTTTTTATGATCTGATCAGTTTCTTTCCTTCCCAGGTAAACGTCACAGGAACTTAAAGATGATTCACACTTTTCTTGGACTTGCAGTGATGGTTCGGTCCTGTGTTCTGAAATTGCTTCCATATTGGTCTTGGCCGGAGTTGATGATGACACATTGCTTGCCATTTGACAACTGATCAAAGAAGCCGTTGGAGCCTCTTGGAACTAACCATCATTCACGTTAAGAAGATCAAAGAAGGCTGGTTCTATATATTGCCATGTTATTAACTTTATTACAAATCTGTCTTTTCCCTTGATCTTCTTTTCTCACCGATGCATGTGATAGTGCCTCTCAACCTTTTCTTAATACTTAATTAAACTAAGTTTGTTTTTTCTATTAAATATTTTTTTTATTTTTTAAATTATTTTGATAGGTTAATATTAAAAATAAAATTTTAAAAATAAAAAATGCTATTATTTTAATATATTTTTAAATAAAAATATGTTAAAAAACAAACTAATGTTTTAAAAATCAAAATAGAATATAAATACCTGTAAAAATCTTACTTCCGAAGTTACTTAGTGGACAACCTCGTCGAGAGTGCAACACTTTTGGAGCACGGATGGTCTTACTTTCCACGGAGGTGAAGGGTCGTGCTCTCTTTTTCGCCTGTCTTTTTTCCCTCTCTGTTACTGGGAACAGAACAACAGTGGCAATCCGAAAGAAAACAAAAAAAAGGTTCGATCTTTCTCATCTTTCTTCTTGAGGGTTTATCGACTTTTATGTTCTTGTGATTAATTGGTTGAATTCTGGGATTTAAACATTTTTTATTGGCTTTTTTTTTCTTGTGATTAATTGGTTGAATTCTGGGATTTAAACATTTTTCCTGTTTCTTTTCTTTATTTTTTTAATCAAGATTTAAACGTTGTTCTTATCTTTGAATCTTGTTTTTCATATTAGAATGAATTTTTATTTAAAAAATCATGTTTTTAATTAAAAAAACTTGTTTTCATCTAAATTGAAAAAAGTACATGAATAAAGAATGAGACTTTCAGTTAAAAAACATGTTTTCGTTAAGACAAAAAATAATATATGAATATGATTTTTTTCCGATATTTATTTTAATTATCTTAAGTTTTTATTAGAACAATATATTGTTGAGAAAAAATACTTTTTCTCAAGAAAAAATATGAATAGAAAAGAGAATTTTAACTAAATAAATACATTTTTTTCTCTAAGATTTAATAATTGAATTTGTTTCAAATATTTATTTTCATTGTCACAAAAATTTAATAAAAAATCTTCAAAGAGAGCCCCGCAAACTAATTAGTTACTCCTAATTAAAAAGAGTAAATTATTCAATCCCAGCATGCTTAGCAAAATAACAAGGCCCCGTGTTCATGCTTCGCTACGTAATAGATAAAAAAAAAAAAATCGCTAATTAATGTATAAAAAAATGAACTCGGTGTTGTGGGCTAAAAGTAAACTAGTTAACTGTTTAATAATAATTTGATTAAAAAAAATTCACCGTGCTTTCATTTTAATCTTTATTTAGCCTTAGTTTAAATATGAAATAATAGATTATCAAATCATTACATAAAAAGATAGAATAAAAAGATCGCATCACATTGTATTGTACCGACATTAATTAACATATAAAATTATATACAGGATCACAATTAGCTAACTTAATTGGACAATTCATGTTTTTTTTTCTTTTTTTAATAATGTTTTTGGTTAGATATTATTGAGTCTTGATTAATCTCAAGTTGAATTAAATTTAGAACTAAATTGAAGAACTACAAAATAATTATAGATAAAATTTAATAAATAAATAAATAAATAATAAATAATAAAATTTAAAAAAGAAAAAAACCAAACAAGTCTAGGTGAATTTTTTAAATATATGTTAATTTTTTAAATTTATAACTTATAAAATTCTAAATCCAGATTTAACTAAAAAATTCAATTCTCAACAAATATAATGTTAAATAATGAAATAAAAAAATATATTTTAAAGTAAAAAAAATAGCAATAAAAAAAATAATATTCATATTTGACATAAAAACTAAAATCAAATCAAATGCCGAGAAATAAAATTGAAAAATAAATTTAATTAAAATTTTTTTTAAAATAAAATAAATAGTAATCAAAAGTACAATGACTAAATCTAATAGATAAAAATATTAAAAAAGAATAAGATTGAAAAATATTAAATTATTAAAAAATAAATAGTAATAAAAGGAACATAAAGTAAATATGAAGAAGAAATTAATCGAAAGGTTGCTTGGAAATTTTAAAAGTTTAAGCCTGGAAGTAAAGAAAGAAAGATAAAAGAAAATAAAAAATAAAATTGTGAGCACAAAACTAGACCTCTGCTCCATACACATCGTCTAATGATAAAGGAATCACCAAGATGAATTAAATATCATTTTGAAAGTCATCATTTATCATATACACGCCTCCTCAAATACTGTCCAAATAACATGGAGGATTCCCATGTGCGAACCAATTTTTCTTTTAAATAAAATTTTATATTTGTTAAAATATTAGATTGCTGTTAATTTGAAAATAATAAAAAAAGTAAGATGAAAAAGCCTTCGCACATGAGTTTTAGAAATTCTAGTTTTAAAGGTTATTGAGTTATGTTATTGTGCTAAAAAAATAAAAAACCAAAAGGTTCATAGATGCTAGTTTTAAAAATCTTGTTTTTAAAGATAATTTAATTATTTGATTATACATAAAAAAATAAATAAAAATCTAAAATCAATCTAACAATGACTAACGAGTTTTGCAAAAAAAACTAAATTACCCCAATAGCAAGGCCATTGATTTTTTTGGGGAATGATAAAATGATAACTGCAATATTACGGTTAATAGTGATTTGTTTTGATGAACACATTGAATTTATCTTTCATTTTAGTTTTTTATTTTTTAATTTAATTGGTTGGGTACAGTGATAAAATGTGTTTAGTTACTTCAGAAGCCCCCTATATACTGCTTATATGTGATTGGTGAATGATAATGTTTGTCTCAATCTGATCGTTGTTGTATATTGCAAGTAAATAATATCTAATATGCTTATGGAAATTATCCTAATATATATGATTAGTTGATTATCTGCTTTTGAATTGTGTGATTTTGGAATATTAATCTGATATGGTTTGTTGACTATACAAGTTAGAATTCCCATTTTAACCGACAACGTTAGCCTATGCACGCATAATAGAATCTGATTCTCTAGCTAACTGGGGGGGATACTGGCCTCTGTCGTAGGCCATCCATCACACGTATCTGTAGAATGCCCTGCCTGGTAGGGGTTTTTTCGCAAAGACTTGTGACACGGGCACGTTCTTTTCTCCCTTCCGTTCTTATATGTAATTTTGATGTATATAGTGCGTGTTAGCTGATCTATACAACTTATTGGGAAAGAGATCTTGTCTATATGCTTGCACTTCTTTCTGGCAGGTCTTTCTCATTTTTATACGCATCTTGTAAATATATTCTGTAATATTATACATAGATTAAGCTCTGTAATTACAATATTTTCTAGGATATCCCTGTGGGTTGGCATGTGTGTGCGTGTGATCTAGTAATATATGATGATGGTTAGTCTTTATATCGTTGTTTAAATTTTTAGTTATTATAAAATGATGTATAGGTTTAAAGCTTATCATAGACGAGACGGTTCTGAAAGTGCCTTTGCCTATAAGATGGTAACATTCTCAAATTTCATGAAAATGCTCGGGCTAAATTAGTGGTGGCACAATTACAAACATGTCGTTGGTAATCAAACATCTGAGAACAACACACTTGCAAATGCCACGGTTCCTCGAGGAACCTTGATGGAAGTTCTTATAATAATAGTAGCCACAAAATTACTTATCGTGCCACACAAGAATTCACAACTTAATATAGATGAATTTTAGCAATGCAGGTAGGCGCAGTGCATTTCTCTGCATTTTGATCTCCTAAAATGCTAAGAAATCTTGTGATTAATAGCCGGGCTTTCACATGCAGACTCCCTAGATTGACCTTTTCATCTTTCTTGCGTTCATCTTCCCCTCCTTGCAAGTAAAAATATCTAACCTTCCACTTTATATACGGTGGAGAATATAAATGGTGGCAGGAATTATAGCATGATTTATACCCCTTCCCTTCCACTTTGTATATATATATATATGCTTAGTAAAGAATTGCGTGTGTGTGAGTGATAAACAGAGTGAAAAATCAAGAGAGTGAAAGCAGTAGAGATAGTTTAAGTATAGAGTTGAGTTGAGAAGAGTTTTCTTCTTCTTTTTGTTTATATTGTTTTTTTAAGTGATTAATACAAACCAATAATTCTATGGAATAAATAAATTTCCGAACCATATAAATTTGTATCTGAATGCTTTAACATGTCAGCTACTTGCTTTTCTTTCACTTCATTCTCTTCGGCCTTGGCAGTTTCCGGCATTCTGTAGCAAGAAGTGATGGAATGGAGAGAGCCCTACTGAAAGGAAAATATGAGAATTGTGTTTTGCAATAGAGGTGCCAGTTATGTACCTGTATTTGTCATCCTGAGTTTTTGAAGGACTTCCATTCGATTCATGGACATTTTCATGCTCCTCGTCTTTCTTGGAGCTCTCAAGATCCCCTCCCTTTTTCACCTCTTTCTTCAAGAATAATCCTTATTTCGTTGTCCTTGAAAATTTGTTCTTGAAAATCCATCTTAAGAGAAGGATTAAGAGGATCAGTAAAAGTAGCTGAAGGGACATTCAAATA